GATGGGGCGTGTCCGAGCGACCGCGCTTGGCGCTGAGCCAACCTGTCTTTTTCTTACGACAAACGACAGGACTACCATATCGTTCGTATCCGTTCGTATCAGACGTTTTCCAGCTGTTGGTCTCCTTTATCAGAGTCAGCAATTGGCGGAGCACAGATCTGGCGGCGTCGGACACGGACACGCCCATCATCCGCAACGGACAACACTGTAAATAAGTGCGTAGGTTGGCCATGGCACTCTCTGAATCCTGTAAACACATCTGCTCGTGTAGACAGGCACTGCGTGGAACTGCACCATCCCATTACCTCTGCGTGGGAGCCTAGGCATGGCGCATCCACAAATGAAGCTAATGGGCGCTAAAACACCTACTGCTTGCTCCTATTCCACGAAGGGATGCATTCCAGATGCATTCTGGATATCCGAGTACGCTCGCTTGAAACGGTACACAGAAAACGGATTTTTCGAGCAGCTCGGAGTGCTCCCTAATAAATCCCCAACGCAATTATCTCATGAATCCCGGAAACTTCAGAAACAGTTTAAGTAGTTTTTGGAAAGAGAAAATCTTCTAGAATTCGACACTGGTTTCAGATTTCCAAACTATTGAGGTTCAAGGGAAATATCTTGGTTCAAACCTGTACAATTCGCAGCAAAGTATCCAAATAAAATCTTTGAAACAGATTAATGAACTATGTTGTAAAATCTAATAAATGAGAATTATTGAGGGGGGTCGAAAGCAAGAGATAGCTCAGCTTCCGTTTCGCACGTGCCCTTAGACGGAAGCCGAGCAAAAGCATATTCCTCCTTCCGTGCTCTTCAGTAAGGAAAGGAAGAAAAATCAATTGCAGCAAGTTTATAAGGTATAAAGTTGTGATCGTCAAAAAGTGCATTTCCAATAAATCCCCAACGCGAATTTCTCTATAAATTTGGCGGCCTTTATGAACATTTCAGTATGTTTTGGGAAATTCAAATCTTTTTCTTCACGACTGTGTTTTTTTGTTTTTTTTTCGTTTTCTAATGAAGAGATTCTCTCCCAGTGGTCGGCCAAGCGATTAATCCGTATCAAGACGTTGTTCGCCATTTCGGAATTTCTGTATTTCTCCCAATTCCGCTTCTTTCTTAAATCGACATATACGTTGTACTGTCCACAGTTTCGTCTTTTTTCAAGTTGTCAAGCATGAATGCGACCTTAGGCTTTGTAGGGTGGGGGGGGGGATCAGCACATTCGCTATTTCACATCCTCGTATTCATTGCTTCACAAAAGTTGACAGGTATTCCTCCAAACTTTGAGTGGTATCACTTTATGCCTTTCTGTAGTTACAAATAACACATTAATTTCTGCACCGAGACCCTTCGACACCAACCTGACACTACAGTTAGGAGCAGCGATCATGAAAATAATACCATATGTTCTTAATGCCGGCATTAAAACGAGTACCTTATTACAACTGAAGCTTCTGATAATCGTCAAATGTACGCTTTTGATGATTTTGTTATAGGAGGGCTAGTACAAATATAGATGCAAACTACTGATGGCGCCCAATGGCGTTTAATGAGGAGGAATACTTTGTGGGTGTGGTCCCACGCTGGTTGATCCGATAGCCACAGGCGAGAGATAGTCAAGTTATCGAGGCGCCGCAGCACTGCTATATTGAGGTGATTGGGTCCTGGTACGATACAGCGTATGTCATTGCGCTTGCGACGTCTATTTCGTCGCTCTCGCCGCGACTTCGAAGGAACGCTCCATATTGGATGCTCCTTATTCAGTTTCAGAACCGTCAAATCTAAGGAACTTCAATTCCAGAATTGTTAAAGTGATGCACGTTATGACGTATTTCAATCGCACGCACGCTGAGTTGGATGGATCTTGGCATTATCTCAAAGTTACCCAGCTGTGTGAAATCCCTTTACAGATAATCTCGTTAGTTTTTTGGTCTCTTATTTTGGAATTCCAAACCAGATTTTCTATGCTCGACATATGTAATTATGGGAAACTGTTCGAGGTTCCATAAAATCGTAGTTTCAAAAGCAACTTGGCTTTGCAGTCACCGGGAGGGTCAGGCGTTTGATACGTCGTGGCTTGATCTGATGCACCGGTCCGCTGCCGATTGGCCGGCTTTGTGAGAATGGAAAACATAGCTGGCATGGACGGGAGCCGATCCGAGACGTGACTCCCGTCCATGCACTTGGTAAGTGGCGCCGCTAACCAGTAAACCTTGGTCCACCAACACCAACCGTGCTCCAGAGGACATGCTCATGAGGAACCTTACAGCCAAAAAACATGCAGTTACGGTCACTTTGCACACTTTTTCAGCGTTTGCTACTACATTCTGGTGTTCTATATTCATGCCGTTACTCCGCAATATCATGTGAATATGCGTATTTTATATGGGACCGGCTTGGTAACATATCTGTCATATTCTCTTGGACGACTCATTCATTTACGATACACAATCTATTTCCTGCCTAATTGTAAGTTCACCGCGAGGATCGAAATGAAACAATATCTGAGGATTCTGTGATGGTGTCGTAGAATCTCATTCAGTCTTGTAAAATTTTTGGAAATTCGGGACCTTCTGCTCCACACATACATGAATGTGTGAAGGATGGAATGTTCTAAATATACCAAGTTTGTCAGGTTGTCTGTTATGGATGGCTCACTTTTCTTGATGTCCAAGTAAGGTTTCGATGAGGAACATTATCACACAGGATATGATACAGGAAGTCCAGTAGGAACACCCAGTAGTAGAAAATACGTAGTGTAGATCTGCTTACGCTCCGCACAAAACGGGTTGTCGTCAGGAGCATGTTCTGAACCGCAGCTAATGTGTACACGGGAGAAAATGAAAGGAAGAAAGAAAAATGTGAAAATGGGCGCGGAAAGCCTGAACTGCGAACTCATTATGTCTATGGACTCCCTTCACCTCTCCGTAAAAAAGATCCTATGCTAGCTAACAAGCTGGGTACGCTTGAGCGGAAGAATATCCCCCGCATTCTGTGCATCTCTGATAAGATGAGCAGTTCCCGTGAGGAATGGTCTAAAGAAGTCGAAGGCTCTAAACACACAATTGACTTGAAGCGCCATTTTATTCAAAATCGGCTGTATTGCAGCTGCGTAGCATCGAACTCTGTGGTTTATCACAGTGATAAAGCGCTCAGTGGTCCACAGAGTTCTGTTTCCGATGTGTGGGGATCAATACACAGGTAAGACATGGTGATCGTACTTCATCATGTGCGTTTTATAAAGCATATAGAGGGGAAATCCAGGTTGCGCATGCTGACAGCGCAAGGGTTTTGGAGGGTTGAAACTCATGTCAGAGATATTGGGGTTATGGTCCAATTTCTGCCTCTCGCATGCCATTTGAATATCTGCGTACAGTATCCTGGAAGCATTTCGATTCCCAGGAATGTGAAAACGAACCGCTGAAAGAACGTCCTCGACTTACGAGGGAGGTAGCCCTCTATCAATGTTGGCATTCCAAGCCTTAATTCTGGATCTGGTCTCCTAGCAGTCAATATCGACAACACCTATATGTCTAGAGTTTTCAGATGAATTTGAAGCCACATATCTCTTCTCTTCATACTTGCGCTGTTATTCCTTCTTCAGTGGTCAGTGTTAGCCGCCACGAATTTCGTTCTTTATAATAACTAATGTTTATAAATATTTTCTATTTGCACTAATGCAGTATGATTAGTTCAGTATTTTACTACCTCCCAGTGGCCATCGCTGAACGATGCTGTGCTACTTATTATTTGAAGGATTATGAGAAGCAATGGAGGCTGCATATTTCTTACATTTTAATATTTCTTCAGTTTTGCAGCAGCGCTGCGTCGACTATTATCTTCCAGACCAGTACGTTTTGTTGTTAAATTCACCCCAATTCTGCTTCGAAATAGCGTTTAAATGAGGCAGGCGACCCGACGTGTACAGTGTTTCCAGCTTTGCAGAAAATAACTAGCCGTTGCAATATCGGCCAACACTAGAAGGTTGCCGACAAGTGGATTGTGAACTTGTTGTCAATTCGCTTACAACAACAGGACCATGGATTCAGATCTGCAGCTGCGGTTTCCAAGTTGCAGTGACACATGTTATCTAATCGTCGTGCGTTCAGCACATTATCAGCGCAATGGGAACCTTTGAAATCTCTCCTTGTAGACAGTTGAGCCAAAATTAAGAGCTTCGGGACAGGTGAGCCTTGCCTTTGTTCTCTACCAATAAGGGCCACAGCATGAAAGCTTGAGAACAGCTATCTTGGAAAACGAGACGAGAACGAGTGTTGAGGCAGTCGTGTTGAGACGTGAACATTCTTCCACATTCATACATGAGATTTCATGCTCCTTAATTTCAACTTTTTCATGAATATGCTAAGGATATGCATGCAAAAGTCGGTCAAAAGTTAATTAACACGTATATTGGCGCAAATACAATATGTTGAGCATGGTGCTTACATATGTGTTTTCTACTCATTCTTATTGGGGGAGTTCCTTGTGTTTTTTTTCAGCGTGGAAAAAACATTTGCCTCTTTATTGGTGTAACGGTAGCCGCCAATGGGCTAGCGTTTGGTTGTTTTGAGGCACGCGTTGAGCATGGCCATTTGATGATTTGCTTTTTTGCGCCCTCGCACTGAAAATGATCTCGCGAATGCCAGTTTTTATACGCAATATAAGCATCTTTCCCCTGCCAGTCCACTCCCCTCCGAAAAGTTTGTCACCTGGTTCGCCACATTTTTCGCACCTCTCGGCGCCTTGGTAGGCAATGTACTCAGCTGTCGGAAGGGTTCTCAATAGGACCAGAACAAAAATCTGGAAGCCACGCAACCAACTTGAAAAATAACGTACCTACCCAATGCGAACTTCGGGAAGTTCTTTCACGATGGTGGCATATGAGAACGAGTCCCATTTCCCTTCGCCCCCCTCCAAGCTACCTTTGTCATCAGTCCCTGCCATTTACGAGGCAACCACATTCTCAGGTGTGTACGTTGTACCAAAAAATATTTAAACTAATGCATGAAGCTGTCCACATTGAAATATGCATACGTAATGCATCAACATCATCCCGAACTGTTCGTGCCAATGTTTGCCACAGTTGAGATTCCCCAATAGCATCAATGCATTTTGTCTTTCTAGGCGAACTTGGTGAACGAGCGAATAAATATCAAGTGTTTCAAGAGGACGTCTGCTCCGTGTGTGTCCAAGGCATATTCGCTGGCCGAGCGCTATCAAATTTCAGAAAACATAAAAACATGCAAAGTTGGTGAAAATAGGCTCATTGTTGAAATTTGCATGGTTTTTGTTTTTTCTAATATATGTCAGTTCTTTTAAGTCTTACTTTCTTCCAGAGCTTCAAACTTGTCGTCCTCAGTATCATGGGTTTCAATATGGTTTGTATCGGTGCAGTTGCGATCGACAACTTCGAAGTAACCATCCTTGTAAAGAACGTTGCCAATACTGCCTTGAATTATTCAGCATTAATGTAAGTCATTTTACTTCATAGCATCCTGCGAAAGCAACTTATTTCATGAGAACATTCAAAAAAAGATGTAACTAAGGCTGTGTTTATATAAGCGACGCGAGCATTCAAGCGATTCAAGCAGTTAAAGACAGCTCCCGCGATAAAAGTGTCAAGGATAATTGCTGATCAATTATGAAACAGTAGCTGATAAGTAATTCCTCAATGAAGGAAAAAAGCAACAAGAGCCCTCAAGAACACCAAACAAAATTGCTCCTTACAGTTACACCGCCCTGCGGTCCGCGGGCAACCCCTGGCTGCACAAGTCGCTTTTATGGCATTTTCGCCAATAGTGGAAACATATAAATTATAAATAATAGAATATGAAAAACAACAAAGCGCGATAAGAAAATTCATAAAAGGAAAAACTTGCTAAAACCTGCGCTGTTCGACTTTGGGGTTGGTGCAGTGAGCAGTTTTGGTGCAATCTCGAGGCTTTTGGCACACAGAAATTGCATCATTGGTGATTTTACAGCGTTTTACTTACGGAGATGGTTGGCAGTTGACTCTTATATGTTTAATGATAAAAGTGATGAAGGAGAACAGAATAATTTATGGGCACGAGCACGGCCAGCAAGAAGTACATGCAGTTCAGATTAATGCCCGCCATTCCAACAAAGAAAACTGAGCGGTCTCGTCAGAGGGGCAGCTAGCAAGTGGGCGGTCCAACTGGGCAGGCGTTAGAACTAGGACTTTGAGCGGCTGTAGCTCGCTCCTCGCTCACTGTGGAGTCGCGAGAGTGGGACAGCATCTAGCTTGGGGGCTGAACTACCTGCACAAGGAAGGACGACCATGTACTACTTGAGCGCGGGGCTGTCTTTAAGGCGAGCTGGACACAACAGTGGAGGGGGTATGTGGCAAGATTAGTAGTTCGCCCCACCAGCGGTTGTCGCGTGCGACGTCGCGCCCGCTAATGATGACTATTTTAGGTAATATTGGTCGAGAATAGACAATGTACGACCAAAATAGCATAACGTGTCTAGCATGTCCTTGTCTACATAAAATCCAATGCTGCAATCGAAAGGGCAGAGAGACGTCGCGCCCATTGCCGTCAAAAGGGAATCGCGAGCTACGAGGGCTGCACAGCTCAGTGTTCTAGTCAGTATTAGTTGTAGTAATCCTGCCGACTAGCAGTGAATTAGCAGGCTCAGGCAGTTTGCTCAATAGATTTTGACGACCGCTCCACGAGCAAAAATAATCGCGGGTTATGGAGCCCCTGACTTCAATTAAGATCCACCCAGTTTGAAGCGGTAACAATGTTGTTTCGTGAATTCTGGAGAACAGGCTCTTTCCATGGCTAGCATGGAGCTGGGGTCTCTTTTTGGAATCGATTGTTCCTATGAAAGGAGAAGTACAGGAGGTACTGACATGAAGGACCACCTATGTCGTGAACACCCGATGGAATTGATTAAAACTTTTTCCAAACTGAGAGTGAGAGCTTCGCTCTGATATTTAGGTTTAATGTCAGAGCAAATCTCTCACTGTGCGGAGTTCTTCTGAATTTAGGATGTTTACTAAGAAGCACATCAAGCTCAGGAGCTTAGCTTAGCTCAAGAAGGCCCTGCATTCATGTTCACCTTTAGAACCCCATGGCTTCTTTTCTTTAACTTTTCACTGATTTTTGGGTGGATGATGACATTCCGTGGCTCCATTTAGTCTATTTCAATTTCTCTCTGTTCACGTCTCTTTTTGATGTTGGTTCAGTTCTGTGGAATAGTGTTGCTTGTGACGGCATTTGCTGTTCTGTTTAGGGACTATTCATTTAAAAAATTACCGAGATCTTGTGATCTGGTAGTCAAGTAGTCAACCCTTGTCGGTTTTGATGATTCCAGCTGGTTGTCAAAGCCAGATTACTATGGTTCAATGCTGGGTAGAATCCAACACAACCTACGTGCATACTGAACAAGCTGTTGTACTTATTGTTGGCAGAGGTACATTGGTTTGTGTACTCAAAAGGGACTCGGAATCAATAATTCAACATGAATATAAAGACTTTTTCCCTGTGGATTGGTTTAACTACGAAATTTTGCACATCCAATCGTGGACCAATGTTTCTCACCTTCTTTTTCAAGGTTTGGTTTCACAGTGCCGTTGGTTTCACTCTACTGCAACAGCTTATGGCAAAGCGAGCTGAAACATATTTTTAAGAAGGTAATTTTTACTGTTGGCATGAGTTTTTCTTCAATTTTGTGTTGTGTTATAAAACAGTTAACATCTACGCAAAAACTTCCCATATATTTTCTTCCAAAGCACTTCTGCTGTACAGTTACTGCGAAATTTCTAAGAGTTCTTGAATGTTAACGTTAAGTTCGGTAATCGTTTGAATGCATGGATCAAGTGATCTTATTTAATGGTGATAGAGGTTCGTCATGACAGTTCATCATCGAACTGAATTCTTGCATTCTTTCATTAATTCACTTTGTCCGTGCGACCAGTGCATGTGCTTATTCCTTGAACTTTAAGAACCTCGAAATCTAAGAGTGCCACTGAAAAGAATTCTTGTCCACTCTTATGGCAGACAAAGTGTCGTGTAGAGCTTCAAGATTTTGTTCACCTCTACGTGAATGAAGCCAGAAACAGAATCTCAACCATAAATTCAACAAAGAGACAGCTGCTATCTCTCATCATTTTCAGATTCTCCCTAAACGAGAGGATAACGATCGGACCGTAAGGATAATGTCTACTTTTGGCAAGGATATGGTTGTCAGCAATGCGGAATGCTCCCAACGGTACTTCGAAATGTTACAGAAGGAATGGTAGTATAAGCCACAGCACAACTACAAATGCAACTGATGCCGCAATCTCTCAGGACTTTTACATAACTTATGAAGGGAAGGAGGCCTTAGCGAGGGATTGCATGAATTGTAATTGTAATACACTTGCTGTAGAAGTTATAATGAACAAAGCAAAATGTTTACGGTTTAGTTCCACATTGTCTCGTTTCTACGAATATCGGTCACTGAAGGAAAGGGTTCTGCAGTTGTAGGAAGAACTGCCATTCGCAAAGTACTAGAACGAACGATCGTGAACTTCTTCCCATGAATCCTCATCCGACTGAAGGCTACTTTCCATTTTCTTTATTCGCAGAGAATAATAAACTATCGAGTAACAGAACAGATTTGTGGTTGAACCAGCCGATTTCTGTACCGCTTTATAGATTAATGTACCAGAAAAAAATGGATTCAATACTTCCGGCTCAAAAAGTTTGGAAAGGGGAAGGTAAGAATATGAACTACTATGACAATATTCTCCAGCTTCTCTCTTGCTGTAACCTCGGCATTGTTGTATGATTCGTTAATACTGCTGGCCTCTGAAGAAGACGACCACGTCGAAACATTAGGCCGCTAAATAAATATTCCACCTGAAAACCTCGCAGAGCAGCCAGTGATTAACGAACCAGCTAATGACAATGAATAAGCTAAGCAGGGGAAGGTCAATTAGGTCAGTCCGGCCATTTTGCAACTAGCGTGCATAAGCATTGGTATGTCTTGGAACATGGTGACGTCAATATCTACCTCTTGGAATTTGCTGAAGGATTCAATAAAAGAAGTTATGCAGGTTTTTTTCCTCTCTCTTTTCTCTCGGAGGCGCACTGGCCCCCAAGCGGCCATTGCCTGTAGCGCGGCATACTCATTTTCGGGTGTGTTACTCGTGTTCACGAAGTCAAATAACCCCTGGGACGCAATTTTTACTCAACTCCGAAAAATGTGTGGTTAGGTCAGTCACGACTGAATATTGACAGTATAGCCTACCACCGATAACTGGTATTCGAGCTGAATCAACTCGTTGGCCATGCATTTTCGCAAAGAATGGTATCTGGCTCACGCGGGTGGCATGTTTCATTTTCCTGATAGAAGGGGGGCAAACTTCACCCTAATAAGAATAGTCATCGGTGATAGATGAGCTCCAGTCTGTTTACATATAACTCGTAGAATACCCACGTTTCGAAGTTGGGTCAAAGTCTCAGTTTTGGCTAGAAACGTGTGTACAGGGGTAATTTGACTCGCTGAACATGAATATCACACTAGTTTGGTGCAAAAATACCTCTTACACTCGAGAACGGACGAGCGGGGATGTTCAAGCTTGGCTGGCCATGTTCCTAGAAAATGCAAAAAGCTGTGAACACATGGGGACTGATCCCGTAACCGCTTCCTTATCACATCCGATCGCCACCTGCTGCGCCTCACTGCCACGTTTCCTTATCTTCTCCCGATTATTTAGAGGCGCTTCCACAATTCCATGAGATAACATGTGGAACAATAAGGCAGGGAAAAAACCCTCCATAACTCTGTTCCGAGAGTCGCTCAGCAAATTTCAAGTGAAAAATTTGAGCTCAGCGTCCCAAGACGTTACTTCGGTGTACATCATATTGCAAGTGGGAGGACTGACCTTTTGATATTCCTTGGTAAGCTCAGCAACATTGACTTCTTCATCCCCCTCCCCTTAGCCACCCAGTATTGTATAGGCCATATCGCAACGACTCTCTACGGAAGCAGACTGTGTATCGATAAATCGCTAAAGATTCATCATTTTTCATTTCAATCTTTCCTCTGAATAAAGAGAATGACAAGCTTACTAATAATAGGAGTCAGTCGAGCCTACATGGTCCACTGTTCTTCTAGTCCATTCGAATAGGACGTGAGAGTGTTCGGTGTGATGTGAAGGTCAGATCAATGGCTCTAAACATATTATGGACTGAGAAGAATATACTGCATTCGGTGCGCAGTTCGGCTGGGTGAGGGGCCAAATGGTACTTGATGAAGCTTTGTGCGCTTAGGCAACCCGACACCTTTTCTAATGTCCACGCGGGGAACAGGAAAAATGGCGTTTGAGGAAAAAAGGTAGTGAGATGTTTCGAGCTATCTCATGTTTGGTTTAACTGACAAGGGGAACCCCAACTAGGTCGATCGCGCGCCATTTGCTGTGAGATGTAATAAATAACGGCATGTTCTTGAGCCGCTGAATCCAAAGTCTCCCCTCTCGAATTTTGCGGAAGCGAATTCTCTGAAGGGAAGCTATACGGACCAATTTAATCTTTTGCTGTGTGTTTGCACAGCGTGACCAGGAAAAGGCCAGAGTACGTCAAGCTCGGCCTATTTGCAAACGCACATGTACATCATTGCAGCTCACCTTGACACGGTGAATCTCAACGACTAATCTTTAAAATTTTTGCGAGAACGAACTTCTCTTTATTGTTTTCTTCTCCCTGCGCGCCAGCGTCAAAGCGTTAGCACCTGTAGCGCAACTCACAGCGCTCTTTACGCAAAACAGGTATCATAATTCGTGTTCAGAGGGTCGAATAACCCCTAGAGACGTCACCCTAGCGAAATCCGAGGTTCTAACTCATCTTCGAGAAAATGGGTTATGAATAGCTATGGCTGACTGATAGCCACAGCGATACTACGACTAGCATACGGGTGATGGACTAGTCTCGCCCAACGAATACCTCTTCATCGCGGCCTTTTTCGCGAAGACATTATCTCGGCTCACTTATTCATTGCCGTCATAGCCATCATTGTCCTCTCTTACCACCGGAGAGTTCCCATCTCCAAGACCATCTCATTGATGGCAAAGGTGATCTGCCGTCTGCTTCTGTTACCCATGTAATCAGCACAAGCAACTTTTCTCCAGGGAGTTCGTCTCGAAATTATGCAGATTCGGCTAGAAACTTGTCTCCAGGGGTAGTTTGACTCGCTGAACATGAATATGATGGTATTTCACTGCAAAAACCCTGTGACATGCGGTTATACTCATAATAAAAAAGTTTTCAGAATAACCACACATGGGGAAATTGCCCGCCTTCCGTTGGCAAATAATCAAGAAACCAGGTGAAATGGCTAACAAATTTGCGAAGGCTCATAACAAATTGTTTTTGATGAAAACAGCAAAAGGGTTGACAAGAGGCCAAGGATTCCGAACATTCGGAGATCGTGTCTCTGAAGATAAATGCACTATCCCACTATGCCATCGGCGGCTTGCGGCTTGCAGTTATCCGCATTCACTTGTGCAGACGAGCGAAGATTTAATGTCCGTATGGCTACAATCCCTTTGGAAGAATCGTGTCACGCGAAAATAGGTAAGGCAGAAGGATTTGGATTCAGCAGGCAGGCACAAGAGCAGCATCCGTATTAACATCAAAAGGGCTCACAGCAAATTGTCCGATTTCGAACCTGTTGGTTGTTCCCTTGTGAGCTGTAACCTTATGTTCCGGTACACTAGTTACATTCAGTTCATTCATAATACATATATTTGGCCATTTGTGCTCCATTGCTCATGCAGTTGCTCCAGTGGCATCTCGCAACGAGTATTCATCTTTGGCAAAAATACACGAGGCTATTTCCACATGTAGCTATCTTCACAACGGTTCCTAGCTGAGCGCGGTGATCATCTCATATTTACCGCTGGCGTTCCATGATCGGATCCCTATCCTTCCTGTTCCTATGAAGTTATCAAAATCACATTTGACTGTTCCTCTGATCGTGAAAACTTGTTTGGCGTGCGCGAATCGTAAGGATCACTCCCGAGGGGAACCCACCCCCTCAGGTGCGGCGCTTATTCAGCGTGCGCACCGCAAAAATCAAATATACCTACCATGCCGTGCAGAAACGTGTCAGCGCCACATCGATTGCACCGACAGCTCATCGCGATGTCCAGTCCAGTCCCTCCGTTTCTCTCCATGGAGCTAAACTCATTTTTTTTTATTTCTAACCTACTTCACGCCTTCAGGCAGCGTAGACAATGACCTCGTGTTCCCTGACCAGCTATTATCACGCACCCTACCAGTTCTCTCGGCCCGACAACAGTTCGCGACTGTTTACCCGACGTGAGCCTAATTCCCAACACGCTTTGCTCATATAATGCTGTACCCTTGAAATGAACTATTAGACCGATTGAACTCATAACTCATTACTTCTTCCAGTGTTAGTGATTTATCAGGTATGAAGTTTCCAAAGGTGTGTCCTCACAATGGCACAGAAGGAGGTCGATTTTTCGGCCGTGGGGTCAGAGGTAGCGAGCGTCTGTGACTCCAGTTTAAAATACTCCTGAACGTTAGTCGGTCTGCTGCAAAACGTGTAAAGCTATTGAAAGAGAAAAGATGGGGTCGGTTCAAATGCGGATTCTAATGCCTGATGAACATTGCTGTTCGAAAATAAGCTAATCCTCCGCCGAAGCATAAAAACGGCGCTGCCATTTACTGATCTTAGCCTTTCGAGACCCATTCCGAATCATTTCAAGGAACGGGGAAATTCAAACTGGCAGTTCGGTAGAAAACGCACAGCAGAAACGATTCCTGTGCATTTCTGAACCATTTCATCAGGAGCCGGCCCCCTCAAAAGAGCCTCGCCAAAAGCACCGCCAGGACCGTTGGCAGCCCAACAAACTCGCTTCCGATGACGTTTTTTCCCATGAAAGCTGCGTCGTCAAAGCTTGGCCGATGCGATAATGAGCCGAGTATTAGGACGATAAAATGCGCGCCTGGTTACCCATTTTTCCATGTTGCTCCGCCACTTTTTAGTAATTTTTGCAAGTTTTCGCTTTGCTTTGTCGTTGCCGTGTTTGCCATCGATTTCCCGCGTACTATTGCACTGAATGCACAGTCTGGGGCTTGACACTGCTGACCTTGGGCTATTTGTTTTGCACGGACAATTTAGCTTTACTCAGACTGATCGCCATTAGTCGTTGTTTTGAGCGATGTGTTTCCTTATTACTAAGTTCGCATCGTCTACATGGGTTATCAAAATCTGAGGAGTTTGATTTGAACCTAAGGATCTAAATTGTAGGAAGCCGAAAGGTCTGCTTGTTCAGCGCTGCATATTGCAGTGAGGCTGAAACAGCCTTTTATTTCCTGTATTTTAGAGGCAGAGTGCGCCTTTCGAGAATCCAGATTCCATTTCAGGAAGCCATTTGTGGTGAACATGCATCTGGTTGTCAGTTAGAGCAGGAGGGGGGTCGTATCTGGACCCTCTTCGAGGGGGGGTCGTACCCACACCGCCATTTCGCACATCCCATGCTGTACCCTGCCTACATATCAACTGCCAACCTCAGCTACGCACGAATCGCCTGCAGCATACCAACGAACGCCCGCCGCGACCGCCCGCCCACAAATGTCCGACCGATGGTGAGGCTCGTATCGCTTCATTTGCGAAGTACAAAGGCTGATGTGAAGCGGCTCCGGTGCTATAAGGATATATGCATACGTACTTACGGTAGCGGCTATTGGCACTGCGCCAACGGGGGCTGCTTTCTCAGACGTGTTCGACAAAGGCTTTTTCGCAGCTTTTTGACATTTCTATTCGCTTTTTCGTCATTTTCTCACTATATAGTATTCCTGCTACCATTTTAGACCGAGTACCAAATTATCGTGCCTTATGCCTTTAAGGCGTCGCGCCATTCGCACCACGACTCAGTTGATTTACCATGGGAATGCTCGAGTATGTTGAGTCAAGTAGCTAACCTAAAAGGTAACGATTGTCGCTGTCAACTGAATGTACCATTCCCTAACTGTTTGATTCTATCCCAAATGAGCCGAAGATGGATAAAAGTTACATTTATTCAAGACAACAAGCTTCCATACACGCAATCCTGTAGGTATAAGTAACCAAAGGGCTTAATAAATTAAAACGATTACTGGTTTCTAGCTAGAATAATTAATGCTTGACAGAACTGGTGGGCGCCGACAAATCAGTAGAGACAATGGCTACATTGGCCATATCTTCATCTAGGAGACCAAGGAAAAACTTAGGAACTACATCGCTTAGACCTCTGTCACGTGTAGAGATCTCTCCAAAATCATTCACACCTATTTACAATATGTCAGGATTTTTCAATTGAATGATAAAATATGGCCACAAAGACAGGTCTTGCGACAGAACAGGAACATTGTGGGGCGATGAGCGTGGCACAAACCACTTTGAGCCCAATCCTTGCACAACACGCCCTTTGCGTCTACCTCTGTAGTGCAGTCAATACGTCGTCCTAAACATAAAAGTCTAGTTTCAGTTCATTTTCAGTCAACAGAATGATTCTTACCTTTGAGTGGTCGTCCTTTTAAAGGGGTCTTCGTTGAAGCGATCGGTCGGAAGATGCGCGTCACCATCTTCCCCTGAAGGTTCCTACTTGGTGGGCCACGTAGAATCGATCCTACAACTTCACCATATTAAAATTCTCAAGACCATGGCTCTATTGTTTTTCTCAGCCTTTTGGATTGCACAGAACACCTCGTGGAAGACGAGCTCCATGAAAAACCTGGCCTGCATAAGGCCAGTGCTGTATGGTTAAAGACAGTCCTGCCCTTGAACGATTCGTAAATGTCCTTTCTTCTGCAAGTAGACTGGTCCTCGGTCTCTAAGATTATCCTACTATCGCTGCTTGTAGTTCTCAAGTCATTGTGGCAGTTTACGAGGACTCTCTGGTTGCTCCGCGTACCGAAATTCAAAGCCTATTTTCTGTAATGAGTTCAGATGTACGCCGTTTTTTTTACAATGGTAGGAGACGCTGAGAAACGATCAGTGAGCCAGAGGCGGCCAGAATACCGCTATCGCACAAAACGAGCAAGTCACAAAAAACTCGTTCCGGAAGGCAGCCGGTCCTCTGATATTAGAATGTTCCGCATTCGTTTTTGCATCTGTTGTGGACAGGGTGTTCTGGATACGGTGTTACGTAACTACTCGAGCTTTTTCGCCTGGTCATGTTGGAGAGCAATGACTGGAAGAGTTGTCCGCAGGCCGGAGGCAAGCATGAAGGCAGATTTTGGATCGGACGTTAACAACCACCCACAGCGTTTGTGATAGTTTGTAACATGCACAGCGCAGTGGGGGATGGCCTGAGAAGAGTGGGATGCGCCGCGCCTCGCCTGCCTTGCTCCACCAACGTCTATCGCATAGTGATCGATTCAGGTAAAAAACAACTAGCAGCTGATTTGCGGTGGTATTAGGTTGTCCGGAAAGTTCCGCACGTTTGTGTTACCTGAATTTTTGTACATTCGACTCGATTAAAAGCACATGCTCTCTTGCACTCAGTAGTACGATCTCGTAGAAGAATTCTTTGCGCTATCTGATGGTACTAACTGGCGTTCACAGCCTTGACCTGACTCCTTTTCTTCAAGAACGTTTTCAAGACAGATCAGAAGAGCACTTCGACGATACTTATTCTTGTACGACTATAAATTTTCGGCTAATCCGCAATCGAAACAGCTCAACAAATTAACCAGGTGTGGGGGGCCCAATAGTGCTAGAGAAAGCACTGTGCGGCAATGGTTCAACAAATTTCGTTCTGGAGATTTCAGCCTTGAAGGTGAACCTCATAGCGGTCGACCTAAAGCAATATCTGACGAGGATTTTGAGGGGATTTTGGAGGCTGACCCATCCCAAACAGTTCGAGAGATTGCAGAAAACCTAGGCGTTGGCAAATCCTGTGCTGCAGATGGTCTGAAACGCATTGGGGCGAAGGTTGAAACCTCGAACAGCTGGTACCCACAATTTGAATGACCGCGCAGAAATTGGCGTCTCGCCGATTTCCTATTCAGCTGTTATTTGCGCAACAAACGACCCGTTTTTTGAATCCGAAATCACCATTGTATGAAAAACGGGTCACGTATGATAACAGGAGACGTTCCGGACAGTGGCTGGATTTCGACGAACCACTGAGGTAATTTTCAAAGCCGAACCCTCACGAAAAAAAGATTCTGGTCACGGCTTGGCGTGGTCATCTGGGTGTGTGATCCAGCTCATAATTGGTATGACCAGGCCAAACCATCACAGCAGAACCTTCTTGTGAAGAAATCGACGAATTGTACCGAAAATTTTGTCAGATGCAGCCAACACTTATCAAAAGAAAGGGTCCGATTCTTTTGCATGACAACGCCCGCCACACGTTTCACAATATATCCATAATTTAATGAAATTGGCGGGTTGAGGTCTCTACCACCACCATATTCTCCAGACCTTTCTCCAACCGACTATCACCTTTTCAAACATTTTCAGAACTTCCTTGCTGAAAAATACTTCATCAATTAGGACCAGGCAAAAAAGACCTTTCGTAGTTTCGTGGATTCTCGACCACCCAGTTTTTTATTTTGATGGGATTTCTCGACTGCTGTCACATTGGCAAAAGTGTGCTGATTCGAATGGTGCTTATTTGGATTAAATCCGATGAGTGTTAAGAAAGTTATGATCGTTTAAAGTTAAACACTCAAAACCTGCAGGAACTTCCGGACCTTTAGTTCTTTACTAACTAAACTCTAACTGTACGGTCCCAAAATAAAACCCTCTCACAAAATCTTGGCCGTCGCCACGTTTAGTCCAAGCACGCAGCCACGCCTATCGCATCTTTGGGATTTTGAGTGCATTTGCCCTCGGCAGCTGTGATCAGATGGATTATGACCATAATCATCCTTCGGCTTGGATGAAGGCAATGTCACTCTAGGTAGTTCAACTTGTCATAATCTGTTATTTTTGGAGCTTACCTATTCATTTTCTTAGAAGTCCTGAATCAGATTCGGCATACAGCGTTCCCAGCGAGAGCAGAAATATAAAATTAAAATCAGTTTACGTATTACACTACCAGAATTGCCGGAAACGGCACACCAAATCGTGGTGCCGGCGCTATCAAAACATTTTCCGTGAGAATCAGGCACTTCATCTCAACGCCTAAATTTTGCTAAATCAGCATTCTTCATGTAGATTCTGTTCGCGAAGCTGATGCAAAAATAAACGCATAAGCAGGGAAAATCCAAGAAACGTTATAAGTCGTCTGCAACACGAACTTTTTTGGGCTTCCTGTGACTCTCCACGGAGCCCCATCCAGTTTCGAGTCAAGATGGTCGATAATGCTGCCTTTCAGCATGCTTTCTGGGCGCAGTTCAACTTGGTGGGGGCCATTGAATCGGCACAGAGCGAAGCTGCGACACGACCACGTAAAGTGACACTCGTCGATCTCCAGCTGACCAAAGTGGCTCGTCACACCATCTCACAGCAAGCATCACGAAAGCTCACAAGTATACCTGTTACCGTACATGAACTAGCAAACGGAACTAGCTAAAGTGCAATGTCCCCCCCCCCCCCCGCAGGCCAAACAAAGCCCTTTTCTGATTAATAGAAGCACGATAATGAAACTGGTACAATAGGATGCATTCTATCAGGTAGAATCAGCATCATCGAGCATAAAAACATCAAAAGCGGGCTCCAGCGGCCAAAATAAGTCAATATGTGCTGCATTTATTAGGAAGCGAAATAAAAGGCTCCATTGGATTATTTTGAATAAGCTGAGACAGCGTGAGACGCGAGCGGGCGCAGTGCGTCGGAGCAGCAATTCGGAGAGCCGGAACACGCGGATCCTCGCCAAAGCGACGAGCACTGTCCGCATGCCCCATTGAACCATCCAGTTAGCTTGGGCTGAGCCGATGCTGGCCACGTTCAAATTGCGGATAGCCTCAGCACTTGGGCGTGAATTTTGCCCAGAAAAATTTGCCCATGCCACAGTATGCCTGTTTTGAGGCAGGCCTTAGTCTGGATGCACATTTTAAAGTATTGTTGCTTGTGATACCTTTGTAAATATATAGCGAATAATGGTAAGTTTCTCAAGAACGGAACTACTCACCCGATTGCTTCTGGGAGATTTCCTGTTCTAGCTCAGGATCATTCAGTTTTGCAAGCGTGTCCACTCTGGCCGGCGCCCTTCTCACTTCTATTGGTTCGGGTTCGTTCTCTACAGGGAAATTATTTTCAGAGACAAGCAGAGCGTTCTGTGCTGCAATGGCTGCCAGTACTTCCGGCGAAGCTGTTCGCTCTCCTGGTGCCGTCACATACTGCCACTCAGTGGTCGTTTCCACCGGCGCGAAGTCCTCACGAACAAGTGGAGATTTCTCCACGAGTGGCTGATCGAACGATTCTGCTTCTGAGGGTACGAATGCAGGCTTGGTTTTTGGCTCTACTGTTGTAGTTTTGATAGATGGCTCTCCATCGTCCGACCATTCTGGAATTTTCTCTATTTTAGGCTTTGGAGAAGTCTTCGGGACCATTTTCACCTTCCACATGCCTTGCGTATGCGCTCTAGTTGAAGTCGTCGCTACCGTTGTTGTTTGGCTCTTCACTTTGTGCGGTTCAGTGGGTTCTCGGTGGGTTTTTCTGTACTTGCGTACAGTTCGCCGAGTGATTGTCACGTTCAGAGGAAGGGGTTGAGGATGAGGCACATTTATGAAGATTGGTCTAACTTGTGGTATAGAGTCAGATTCGCTTGTGGAGAAGTTGGATGAAAGGAAAATCGTTACTCCAGATTCTCCTGAAGACTGCACAGAGGAGGTGAGGTCGGGGTTGGCAATCACTTTACCCGAGCCGGTAAGTGCAACAATAGAGGGAATGCTGATGTGGTTCAAAGTGGGGAGCTCGGATGAGGACAGCTCCCCGGCTTCCTCTTCATTTAGGTTACGCTTATCGGAGGTCTCTTCAATGCCGATACTTTTTGACGATCCGTTTTCTTCAGCTAGTGAATCGCCATCACCTCTGGCAGAATCAGCTTTCCTGTCTCCAGTTAGCGAATCACCATCATTTTCATTGAAGTCAGTTTCCTTGCCTCCAGCTAGTGAATCAGCATCTCCTCCAGCAGAATCAATCGAGGACTCGACCATAGGATCAACTTCGAGTTCATCAGGACCAATGAAAGGTCTCGGGACGGGAGGTTGTGATTTTCGTATTCACATCTTCCTGATCGCTCTCAGGCCGAGGGAAGTTCGGGACAACTTTCTTGATAGGCAATTTCTTCGGCCTGGGAAACTTTGAAAATGGCTTCTTCTCGATGGCGGATTGCTTTTCCGGTCTAGGAAAATTATTCCGATTCCTCTTGATTGGTAGCGGTTTTGGTCTCAGAAAGTTTCTATTTAACTGCTTTTTCTGACAGACTACATTTTCCTGCATGCTTAGGTGGTAAAGATTTTGAGGGAGCCTTTTTCGTTTTCGGAGTTGCCGCGTACGAACCCTATCTTCTGGAGTTTTGTTGCAACTTATCAACGTTAGCTTTCTTTCTCCCTTCCGAAGAGCCAATCAGGTTGTGCGGAAATCTCCTGAGTATTGTGTGTGGAAAATTAGCTCGGATGGGGGAAATTTTGTTGTCGAGACACTTTTGTAAGGAGATGCTTGGCCTTTAGGGAGCAGATATTGTGAACGGGCCTCTTTGGTTTGGACTCCCGGGTACGAATTGATCTTCTTGTGCAGTGGTACTTTCTCAGGAGTGACAGTGCCGAGCTGGGCTGCTTGAGAAGATTCAGTGCTAGGCAAATCTGATTTAGGAGGTGTTGTGCTGTGCTGCTTAGGCTTGGGAGGTGCAGTGCTGTGCAGCTCAGGCTCAGAAGGTGTAGTGATGTGCTGCTCAAGCTCAAGCTCAGGTGCTTCTGTCTCTGTGGCAAGCGTGTTGTTATGCTCATCGCAGATGGGACGTGATTTGTGATCTTCACCATTTTTGGAAGTCGAGGGAAGAGCTTCCGGTCGACCATTTGGAAGACTTCTCGATAGATTGTTCCCCAGCTGATTCGTTACGCTTGATGGAAACCAGCGAGGAGGGCAGCTTCCCTTGCTTCTCAAGCAGATCGCTTGGCACCGTGTCCATACTCGGAACGTTGATGTAACGAGGCTCTTTGATGAGCTGGGATTCCCCGGATGATTGCTTTGTTTCCGATGATCCATCCAAACCTGAAAAGTGTTAGTGATGATGCAAGCAATTATGCAGAAAGCAAAAATTAAAAGCACATTCCACGACAGTCTGATGTCGGAGAAGTGGGCGGGTACTCATGAACACTCCTGCACTCTCGGCATTACAAAATGGGCGCGAAACCAAGGAAAGCACAATGGTCATGAGTCTCCGCCCCTTGCTCCGCCTATCCATTCATCACGGAATGTACTGTAAAATGAGTAAATGAGTGGGTGAAAGCGTCAGCTTTCGCGTCTTTTATCAGAGCGACTCAGGTGTATTGCTTTCTAAGCAAAAACAAATAGCATAGAGCAAAAGCTATTTTAA